ATTTTATTTATTTATTTATTTATTTATTTATTTATTTATTTATTTATTTATAAACAGGGTCTCACTCTGTAGCCCTGGCTGGGATGAACCTCAGTGTATAGACCAGGCTGTCCTCAAATTCATAGAGATTCACCTGCCTCTGCTTCCCAAATGCTGGGTCTTTCCTTCTGCCATGTGAGTCCTGGGGATCAAACTCAATTCGGCAGCCTTGGTAGAAGCGTCTTCACCTGCTGAGCCATCTCTCTGTCCCACAATGACTACTTTTAAAATAATATTATAGAAACTCACTCTTATTTCAGGATTATAAACATTATTGACTTAAAAAATAAGGCACAGTGGGGCCAGCTAGATGACTCAGTATATAAGGGCACTTGCCAAGCCTAGCATCTGAGTTCAATCCCCATGACCCACATGGTGGAGAGAGAGAGAGTCAACTCCCACAAGTTATCCTCTGACCTCCTCCACATCTGTGCCTTAACACATCTTCCCTCCCCCCAAAATAAATGTAATAATTTTTTTTTTAAAAAAAGGAACAATATCTGGGGATCTAGTTCAGTGGTAGAACATTTGCCTGGCATGTATGGGACCCTGGGTCAGGTCTCTAGCACTGGAAAAAAAAAAGGGTGGGAGGAGTAGACTTGCCAATTTATAAAATGGTTAGCTCTTGAGTAATATTTTAAGGCGTGCATAGTGTCTCTAATACCTTTGAAAACTGAATAGTAGTCTTTGCTTTAAAGAGAAGTATTTACTAAAATTGAAACTATGTTTTAGCCTAATACATTTCTTATACAAACTTAATTTTGAGGAGGTAGTCTTTGTATTCTCACAGGAGTCTTATGCATTTAAAATTTCATGAAAATAATTTGTAACAACCAATTTCTGATATTTCAACTACTTTTGAATTTGTTAGGATGTGCTGACATACATACTTGAAAACTGAAGTTTTTTATGAATTGAAAGATTATAGTACTTCAAAGAAAAAGTAATGTCACAAAATGCTTACGTGCTTCCTTTCTGGTGTGACTATTTTCCTGCTTGAAGTTTTTTGTTTGGTTTTCTAAGAAGTCCTGGGGTTAAGTTAGGTTGATGGTAGTGGACAAAGCAGAGGAGTATGATTAGGGGTTCTGTCACACACCTTCACACTCACGGCACTAAGTCTTGTGTGATTATAATTCATCTTTACAGGCTGGGTTACAGGTCTGACAACAGAGCCCACACATAAGGAAAGTGGACCAGGAGAAGAATTAAAACTTAATCAGGAAATGCAGAATAAAATTTCTTCTTTACGGTAATGTCGGTTTTTTCTTCACTGTTTTCATCTCTTGAAAGTATGTAGTTGTCCCTTTTTGTTAGTTACAGACATACTAGCTGTATTTCATTGGTAGGAATGATACCCTTCATTTCTCACCATTCAAAATGAAAGTTTAGGGATTTGGGAAAATTAGCCTCGAGATCCATCTGCCTCTGCTTCCCAAGTGCTGGGATTAAAGGTGTGTGCCACCACACCTGGCTCTGTTTCTCTGCTGGGATATCAGGCATGTGACACCATGCCCATTCTGTATTCTTCTTCATTGACTTTTCCTTAGATCCAGAGTGGCATCATTTCATTTGCTTAGGTGTATGTAGTTGCAGTGTTTTGCTTTTTCACATGCATTACAAAGATGTGAACATAAATGGCTAAATTTTTTTTATTAGTTTTGATGGTCACTGTTCCTGTGAACCATTCTGATGGTAACTTTGGCTCACATGCTGGATCTGAATAATGTCCACTGTAGATCTGAGGTTGCTTTCATGGCCTGCTTAATTTGACAAGTCCTGTGAAAAGTTGACCCCTTATTCATATACAATGAGGAAATGGGAGTTGCTAAAACTTTTAATGACTGTGCACCCCTTGGCAACCTTTGCTAACTTCTTAGGGAAATGAGAGCTCCCCTTTTGTAGTTGAAGGCTCCAAGAACTTTTAAGGCAGCAGATGCCACAAGTTCTAGTAGTATGAGCTTGTTTGTAAAGGCCACTAGAAGGACAAACTCTAATGTTTATGAAACTGATAAGCCAGATTCATTCCGGGTATCCTAGTTCCTGAAATAAGAATTCAGAGTAAAGCTAGGGAGAAAACTTACTGGATAAAGCACTTCCACAAAACTGTGAAGACCTGTTTCGATCCCCAGATCCCATGATAAAAGCTGAGCAAGTGGTGGCCTGCCTGTAACCCTAGCACTTGGGAGGCAGATATGAGGGATCTCTGGGGCATGCTCGCTAGCTTGACTGGCCACAGTTTGCAAGCTCCAGGTTCAAAGAGAAACCCTGTCTCAATAAATAAAATGGAAAGTAATTGAGGAAGACACCCAGTACCAACCTTAGGCCTCCACACACATGTGTACACATGAGTATATGTACCCATAAATAGTGCACCCATATGCATTCAAACACACAAGCATACATGCACACCCACACACATTTTTAAAAAAGATTATCAAGTAAAGTATGACTAACTGCTATGTCACATCCTCTGCAATACCTTTTCAATAACCAGGTCTTCCCCTTCTTGACTAAACTGGAATATGAGTTCTGTTACACATTTATATTATTGTGTTCATTCAGAACATGGAACACTGAAGCAAACACATAATATTGATCAATAAATATTTCTTGAACAAATGAATATTTTCCTTTATTTATTGCATATATCCCATTCAGGTTCCTCCTCAGACCCTTTCCCCCTCTTCACTTGAGCTAGCTAAACTTCATGCTTTTCCATTTCAATTACTTTTTAAAAAAATTTTTATTATTTTTATTTATGTGTATGAATGTTATGCCTGCATGTAGGTAAGTGCACCTGTGTCATGCAGTGCCTGCGGAGGACAGAAGAGGCTGTTGGATCACCTGGAACTGGAGTTACAGACAGTTGTTAGCTGCCATGTGGGTGCTGGGAATTGAACCTGGATCTTCTGCAAGAACAGTCAGTGTTCTTAACTGCTGAGCCATCTCTCCAGCCCCCACTCCAATTACTTTTTACCTCATTTGCATGCGGCCTGTCCCCTGGAACATCTGCAATCCACTGAGAATGTGCTCTAACATCTGATGGAACTTAAATAGTGCTACTGGTTCATGATCATCCTTGTGGTTCCCAGAATGTTAGTACTCTGCAGTCTTCTCATTTTTGGTATCTACCTAATATCTTATAGAAAAATATGTGTTTGCTTCTCATTTAGTGTGTCATTATGGTGCTGTGATAATTTGCAGCCTGCCTTGATGCAGTTCTATTAATAATACTTATACTGAATAGATGTTTTAATTTTTGGATCAGTGGAAAATGATATGGAATCATTTGGTCAGTCATAGAAGCAAAAAAATGTTCCTGTTCATGTCACATATATAGTTCTACTAGCTGAACCACTAAAAGTTCATTTTGCAAAAGCTCATTTTACACATTGTAAGAATCTCAAATGTTTGTAGGTGATAAGATTGTATGTATTTTCCTGTAGGAGTGAGTTAGAACATCTGCAGTATAAGGTACTGCAGGAAAGAGAGAACTACCAACAGTCTTCACAGTCAAGCAAAGCAAAGTCAGCAGTTCCTTCATTTAGTATAAATGACAAGTTTATATTGAATAAAGATGATGCCAGCTACAGCCTTATTTTAGAGGTGCAGACTGCAATAGATAATGTCTTAATACAGGTAAGTAGGATGCCTAAATTCTTTGTTTTATGACTGGATCTATTTTTGCATACTAGTCCCATGCACTTATTAAGCACTTTTAGTTTTAGACTATAATTTTAAATGTTTAAGGCTTAATCTTCGATTAGATAATCAGTTTGTTTATGGGTTGAGTATATCTTTATATCACATGACAGTAATCAAACAAAAATGTGTGAACTTCAGTTTCAAGAAGAGATAGAAAGGACAATAGCATTTCCTTCTTTGGCCACCCTGTAGAGGAATTTTAAAAGTGATATGGCTTAGAAAACGCCAGTGTTTGCTTGGTGTCTTGTCTGTAATTGTAATACTTGGGAGACTGAGGCAGGAGGATTGCTGCAAATTTGAGTCCAACCTGGGCTATAGAGTAAGACTATCTCAATAAACAAAAATGAGGGAAAAGCTACAGCAATTAATGCTTTTTTTTTAGATCTTTTTAAAAATCTCTAAATGCTAAGATGATAGGTTACAATATAGTTTACTCACCAACCCTGTAGTTTCTAGGTAAGCCAATAGGCAAAGTAGATAATCTTAAAGCGTGAAATTTAGGGATAATAATGGGTAACTTCAAATTATTTTTGATTCATTTATTTAATTGGAAGATATTCAAAAAATAGAAAGGGATGAATGGAAAACCCATAAGAAAGTGTGAAAATAATAAATTGGAGGAAGACAAGACATCTTTCTAAAAGATGCAGTAGAGAGGCTGGAAAGATGGCTCAGAGGTTGAGAGCACTGGCTGCTCTTCCAGGGGATCTGGAAGTTACAGCTGTCTGTAATTCCAGTACCAGGGAATCCGTCGCTCTCCTCTGGCCTCCATGGTCATTACACAACACAGGTGCACTTACTTACATACAAACAAAACACTCATAGAACAAAATAATAATTAAAAAAAATTTTTAAGATGCAATAGAAGCTGGGCATGGTGGCACGTGCCTTTAATCCCATCACTTGGGAGGCAAAGGGAGATGGATCTTTGTGAGTTTGAGGCCAGCCTGGTCTACATACGTAGCGAGTTCCAGGCCACCTGGGGCTACAGGGAGACGCTGTCTCTAAGTAAATCAATAAATGCTATAGAAACCTCAGATTATTAATTAAATAATAATCTTCAGTTATAGCTTGATTGCTTTAGCTTTGATAAAACACTGGCCAATACCAACTTTGGTGGGGAAAGGGTTTATTTTAGGTTATATGTTATAGTCCATCATTAAGGGAATCCAAGGCAGGAGCTTGAAGCAGAAACCATGGAGGAACACTACTCACTGGCTTGTTTCACCTGGCTTGCTCAGCTACTTTTGTTTTTTCCCCTGGTCTTTTTGAGACAGGGTCTCCCTGTAGCTCTGGCTGACCTAGAACTCACTATATAGACCAGGCTGGCCTTGAACTCACATAGATCCACCTGTCTCTGCCTCCTGAGTGCTGGGATTAAAGTCCTGGGCCACCACGCCTGGCCTCAGCTACTTTTCTTATGCAACCAATGCCCAGCAACACATCACCCAGAGTGGGCCAGGCCTTCCTCTATCAATTAGCAAGTAAGGAAAATGTCTCATAGGCATGGCCACAGGACAATCTGATAGAGCAAATTCCTTAACTGAGATTCCATCTTACCAGGTGCCTATGTGTCAAGTTGACAAAAACTAACCAGCTCATAAGTTGTGTGAGCTCACAGGTTGCTACACTGAAGCACTCCAGGAGCCCCAGGCCCATACACCACAGGGCAGCATCTTTCTCCTAGACTGCTCTGCTCAGGAGATCACAGATGATTGTCCATGTTACAGGGAATTCAGCTTTTTAAAAATGAACTTATATGAGCTAAGGAGATGGTTCAATTGCTGTGCAAGCATGGAGAATTGAGTTTGGATCCCTAGAACCTACATAAAAAGCTAGACACAAGCTGAGTGTGGTAGCACTCACCTTTAATCACAACACTTGGGAGGCAGAGGCAGGCAGATCTCTGAGTTGAAGGCCAGTGTAGTTAGTCTATATAGTGAGTTCTGTTGTGCCCAGTTCGTAAGACCCCAAAGACCACCAAGGAGCCGACCAATGCAAACACACAAGGGTTTTTTTATTGTTGCAAGCTTAAGCTTGGGCCCACTCTGTCACCAACCCAGCAGATCTCAGATGTGAGACCCCTTGCTTTGGGAGACAGAGGTTTTTATAGATTTATTTCAGCAAGTTCAGCAAGTAGAGGGTTCCCAGCCTGGCAAGCATCTGATTGGTTAACCTAACTAAAGGAATGTTGCCCTTTAAACTGATTGGTTGCAGCCCAGTGCCAAACCATAAACTGCTTCCTTCAGGAAATCTGAAGAGACATCTGGAGTTTTAGTACTTTCCTGTCCCTGGTTAATTGACCATTGGCGGGGGAGTTGTTCTCATTCTGCTCCAAGTATACTTTTTTTGTGGTTTTCCTGGAACAGGGTTCAGGGCTGAGTCAGTCCCATACAAAATGGAGGCTTTATCCAAGATGGAGTCACTCAGGTCTCTCATTGCCCCCTCTGACTAGTACCTTGGGGGACCAATTATGGGTGCTCCCTCATCTCATGTTCTTTATCACCCATACTCTGGAGCGACTGATAGTGGGTATTGGTTGCTCCCACATTACCTTAATAAGATCTCCTCCCTGGGGGGTCCACCATATGTGTCCCATTGTTTCACAGCCCCAGTGAGTGCAATAAGTAGCACTATCCCCTCCACACCTGTTTCTCTGAGACTTGTATTTTGGAGTTCCAGGCCCTGGGCAAACATAGAACCGGCCTGGTTTTCTGTGTGGGCCTGGGGAGTTAGTTAGAGTGTAAGGATATGTGCCTCCCTTAGGATTGAAATCAAAGAAAGCATCTAAACTGGAGTGCAGAGTTGGGAACCAAGTAGCTGGAGGCGCTACTCGAGAGATCTGAAACAAAATATTACCTCCTGTCACATCTTGGAGGACCCAAGTCAGATTCATAGGTTGATGCAGACTTCCCGGAGCAGGAGCGTCTATCATGGGGAACAGAGTATATACAGTCAACAGTTTGAAAATCAGGTGAGCTTTAGCTTGAGTGGATTGTTGGGGTCCTTTGAAACTCACCATCCTGAAGCTGGGGATGTGCAGTCCTCTACGGCGAATGGGTCAGCTGGCCGTACATGTGTGTGATGAATCTACAATGCTACACCATCCATTTTGAGGGCTGTGGGGGTGGTCAGTAGGATGACATAGGGCCCCTTCCACTGTGGCTCTAAGGATCCTTGTCAGTGGCTCTTAACGTAGACCCAGTCACTGGATCAGTATCGATGAGGTTCTGGAGGGGGTCCTGTCTCATAAAGAGCACGTAGTTTAGGCCATACATGTTAATGGGACCATTGGATTTCCCTGAGGTCATCCAACAGGTCCCAATCTTTAAATTCAGTAATCTTCTCTTCCTGGAGGTTAGGAATAATGGGAGGGGACACTCCAAACATGATCTCAAAGGGGGTTAATCCCATCTGGTAAGGGGAGTTATGCACTCGATAGAGTGCGAATGGAAGGAGAGTCACCCATTCACCTCCAGTCTCTAAGGTCAATTTAATTAAGGTCTCTTTCAGAGTTCTATTCATTACCTCTACCTGTCCTGAACTCTGGGGTCTATAAGCACAATGTAGTTTCCAATCAATCCCCAGAACTGTGGCCAGACTCTGACACCTTGGACACAAAAGCTGGTCTATTATCTGACCCTATCATCTGTGGAAAGCTGTACCTGGGGAGGATGTCTTCCAACAGTTTCTTTGCCACCATTTGAGCTGTTTTGTGTTTCGTAGGGAAGGCTTCAGTCCATCCTGAAAAAGTATCTACAAAGACTAGCAAATAACGGTATCCGTACCTGCCAGGTTTCACCTCAGTGAAATCCATTTCCCAATAGGCTCCAGGTTTTCTCCCTCAAAGTCTGATTCCTGGATTTCTAATATTTGGCACTGCATTCCAACCGTTGACAATGTCTTTAATCTTTAAATTGGTCTTCTTGATGTTTACTTCAGCATGTTGAATTAAGTCCTGCATTCTCTTGATGTACTTCAGCATCAGATAACGGGGTACTGTGGCCATGGGCCAGGATTCCAGCACAATCATACAGGGGGGGCATCCAAGTCTGGGTCCGGCAAGAGTGTGGCTGGATTCAGGGCAACTGGTACCTGGAAGGTGATTCTAGCAGGATTAAGAAGTAATGCCTGATAACGAGTTATACGGGCGTTACTTAGCCATCTGTCCAGGAGCTGCTTTAAAACTCCTTTAATTGCATGTGATGTGGTGATGGTCAAGTTCTGGCCCAAAGTCAGTTTGTCAGCATCTTTTACCAGTAGCGCTTCTTTGAGTATATAGCCTAAGTGGTGGACCTGTTGTTTGCATAGTTGGGCCTTTTTAGCAGAGGCCCGATAGCCCAGGCTTCCCAACGTCTGCAACAGGCATTCTGTGCCGTCCATGCAAGCCTCTTGGCTGTCTGCCACTACGAGTAGGTCATCCACATACTGCAAGAGACTCCTTTCCCCGATGCTATCTGTCTCAGATACCTCTGCTGGTCCTCTGGATCTGCAGTGGCAGCCAGCAGTATCCTTGCCAGGTCCTTGTTCTGCCTCCTTTCTGCCTTTATCTGTTTTTCCTCTGCACTGTCCCTATTATTGTACACTTTCTTAGCCACAGTTATTAAATCCCTTAAGCTCTTGAAAACCCAGTCTCTCTACTCTTTGGAGCTTTTTATATCCAGAGCTGACTGGTTAACAAATGCCATGGCCACTGCTGCTATATTATCTTTGGCCTCCAGGTCTAATGGAGTGTACCTGTGGAAGGCATCCGTAATTCGCTCCAAGAATGCAGCTGGGCTTTCATTTAGTTCCTGACTAATATCGTATACCTTTGCCAAATTAGCTAGCCTATGAGCAGCCCCTTTGAGACCTGTCAACAGAGCCTGGTGGTAAACCAGAAGCCTCCCCTTACCTTCTGCAGTATTATAATTCCAGTCAGCCCGGGTCAGTGGATAGGCAGCATCAATCAGTGTTGGGTGAGTAGTAGGGACACCAGTATTGCCAGGAATTAATTTCCTGGCTTCTGATTGGATACATTCCCTTTCCTCTGTGGTAAACAGGACCTATAATAATTGATGACAGTCATCCCAAGTGGGTTGGTCTGTGAATAAGACAGTTTCTAATAAATTAATAAGCCGCTTAAAATTTTCAGAAAAGGGAGCATTCTGGGTTCTCCAGTTGTAAAGGTCACTAGTGGCAAATGGCCAGTAGTGATGGGGCTGGTTGCCAGTCTCATCCATGGGGCTGGTGACTCTGAGGGGAAGAACAGTAGAGTCTGGACCATCTGATATTGCTGCCCTTCTACTCCTAGTCCCCTGAGCCGGTCCCCCTGTGCCTATGAAGAATCTGGTACCAGGGGTGCCAGAGGTGCCAGGGGCACTGGTTCCAGAGGGGGTACCTCCTGTGGAGGAGGTGGATAAGGAGGGGGAGGAAAAATTAGATCTTCTTCTGTGCCACCCTGTAAGACAAGGTACAGAGATGGTACTGATGGTTTGGTTTCAGGTTTAGGTGTTTTCTGGGTTGTCGTTTTCCATCCTGCAGCTGTCAGCATCTCAGTTTTCTGTAAAGGAAGAAAAGATTTGACCCAAGGAGGGGGGCTATTAACTAAATCTCCCCAGACCACCATGTATAATATTTGATCCGAGTGTCCTACACGCGGTCAAAGAATAATTTTCTCAACCGCATTAATGACAGCAGGATCAAAGGTCCCCTCTGAGGGCCATCCCACATTGAAAGTGGGCCATTCAGACCTGCAGAAAGTAGTTAGTTTATCCTTCTTGACAACAGAGAGGTTATGGACTTGAGTCTTAACCATTCCAAAATGTGCAAGAACCAGGTCCAGGGGTGTAGAGGGAATCTGTCCCATTGCGTCCCTCTCAGTCACAGAGAAATAGACAACCAAAGACAAAACAGAGAGACAGAGAGACACACAGAAGGCCAAGCAGCAAATTCCCTTGCTTGTGCGGAAGAAAAACTGAAAGTAGGACAGCAGCGAACCTCCGGCCGCAGGAGTGACCCGCCTTGTCCTTTCACAGAAACCAACAGAATTCAGGGCCCTCCATCCCCTCTGCCAGGGTCTGGAACATCTTCCAGACAGACCTCTGTGGTCACAGTCATCCAGCGTGTCCGCTCCAACTGCTCCTGACCACACTATTCGCAAGTTTGCCTCAAGGCTCAAAACAAAAGCTGGGACAGACACAGACAGGCACAACTAGATGCAGACACCGGCCGGCCAGGAACCCTTCAGTTCGGGGGTCCGGGGTGGGTGGTCTTGGGGATCCCAGACGAGTCCCCAAGATGTTGTGCCCTGTTTGTGAGACCCCAAAGACCACCAAGGAGCCGACCAATGCAAACACACAAGGGTTTTTTTTTTTTATTGTTGAAAGCTTAAGTTTGGGCCCACTCTGTCACCAGCCCAGCGGATCTCAGATGTGAGACCCCTTGCTTTGGGAGACAGAGGTTTTTATAGATTTATTTCAGCAAGTTCAGCAAGTAGGGGGATTCCAGCCTGGCAAGTATCTGATTGGTCAACCTAACTAAAGGAATGTTGCCCTTTAAACTGATTGGTTGCAGCCCAGTGCCAAACCATAAACTTCTGCCTTCAGGAAATCTGAAGAGACATCTGGACTTTTAGTACTTTCCTGTCCCTGGTTAATTGACCGTTGGCAGGGGAGTTGTTCTCTATCCATTCCAAGTACTGTGGTTTTTCTTGGAACAGGGCCTGGGGCTGGGTCAGTCCTATGGAGGTTTTATCCAAGATGGAGATACTCAGGTCTCTCAAACTAAATATAAAGTTACCTTACATATTCTATTGTTCTGTATAATCCCAGTTGTACACAATGTTCTAGGCTATATTGTAGTGTATTTCATAAAAAAACAAAAACAGAAGAAAAAAAGAGCTCAGGAGGGTCAGGCAGGTGGAACTCTGTGATTTTGAGGCCAGCGTAGTCCACATAGGGGTTTCCAGGTCAGCCAGTGCTCCTTAGTGAGAACTTGTCTCAAAACAAACAAGCCAAAAAGAAACAATGGGGGAAATAAAGCTAGTATAAACTATCAGCTATAAATTAAAAACATTCACATGCTCAAATTTGAAGACAATTATGAACTAGAAATAAGGAGACTCCTTAGAGAAAACATTTTGCATTTTGTGTATATTTTTCTATCTGAACCTTTCTCATTTTTAATATTTACTCTAGAGTGATGTTCCAATAGATTTACTTGATGTGGATAAGAATTCTGCTGTTGTTAGCTTTAGCAGCTGTGACACTGAGGTAAGTTAAAAAATATAGAAACACTCAAAATCTTCATTGTTCCCCTTTGAGTGAAGTCTGGAGGTGCTGTTGGAGCCTGTTGCTGCTGCTGTCTTTCCTAAACTTGCTTCTGACCTTTCCCTGTCCTCAGTCTGGACCCTGAGCCTGTATTTCTTAAACTCCCCTGGGGTGCTCATCCCTGCACTCAGTTTCCTCTGAGCTAACAGTGTAGGCCGTACATGCCCTGCTACACAACTTACTCCTTGAGCTTCTCTGCCTCCATTAAGCCTACTATACATTGCCATCAGAGGTCTTAAAGCCCAAACATCACTAAATCTCAAAACCTTTTAAATATTCCTATTTCCTGCTGGATATCAGTGTCTAGATCTTCACTGTGTACAGAAAACCGTCCATGTCTTAATCACCTCTCTGACTTACTCTCAGCTGGTGCTACCTCTCCTTCTATGCACATTTTTTTTCTGTAAACTGAAGTTCTTAAAACATGTCTTGAAAATGCTATAGTTTTACACTTAGCTGCATTGGAACACAATATATTACTTCCCCTGCTCTCTTTGATACATTCTGGACTTAGAGCTTCCTTAAAGCCTTCATTCAGCAGACTTGTTGAGCACTGTCTACAAAGTACCTGTAATTAGATGGTGCTGGTGCTTTGTACTGTGCCTCAGAAGCACTCATTTGCTTCTGTCTAGTTATCAGACAACAGTCTTAGAGCAAGGTCTGGCTCCTGAAGAGCATTTAGGGGAGAGATAGAATCCAGATTAGATGCACTAGTTGATAACTGTGGGAGGTATGAGGGGCTTATCTTACTGTTACTACTATTATTGTTTTTTTGAGATAAGGTCTCCCTGTAGCTCCAGCTGGCCTGGAACTCACTATGTAGACCAAGATGGGCTCTTATTTCACAGAGATCCACTTGCCTCTGCCTCCCAAGTGCTGGGATTAAAGGTATGTACCAATATACATAGCCTATATTTTAAATATAATTTCAAAATAAGTATTTTCTTTTGATTATCACTTGAAAAATCAAATTACCTAAACATGGTGGTTCATGCCTATAATCCAAGTACTTGGAGTTGGCAGGAGTTCAGGGTCATCCTTGGCTGTAGATAGTGGTTACCTTGTCCTAACACCATCCTCCCCAAAGTAACATAAATTTAAAAGTTTTGATTCTTAGGTCCCTCTGATAAAGTTACCTGTTTGGGGGTTGAGGATGTAGCTCAGATGGTAAGGTGTTTGATTTGTATGCACGAAGCCCTGGGTTTTATATCCAGGATCACATAAACCTGTTATGATAGTATACAGCTGTGATTCCAGCACCCTGGAGGTGGAGAGGGAGGATCAGAAGTTCAGGGTCATCCTCTGTTATGTATCTAAGTCTAGCCAAGCCAGCCTGGAATACGTGATACCCTGTCTCAAACAAAAAGAAATTGACTTATTTAAGGCACTGCAGAATTCTTTGAAATGATTATTTTATGCTAATTTAAAACTTGTTTCTAGGATAGTGGCTTCTTAAGACAGAAACTTACTGTGGAGATTTAAAATACAAAAGTAGAAAGACAAATATAGTCACCTCCACACATCTGTCATTAAATTTTCAACATAGGACTCTTCACCCTTTGCTGCTCCTAAATCTTTTTTTAAAGTACTTAGCACAAGTGATAGGTATTGAAGTAAATGAATGGAAACAGTATTATTGATGATGTTTTTGTTGTTTCTCAACTTTGAAATCTTTCCAGTCAAATGACAACTTTCTTCTCGCCACTTATCGGTGCCAGGCAAATACCACCAGGCTGGAACTCAAGGTAAAATGCTAGAAATTGCCTTTACTTTTGAATGTTTGAATTTTCTTTTTTCGTTTGACATATCCTACATGAGATGTCATCTCTTTGAATTTCTCTGTGAAATGAATCAATTTAGAGTGTGACATTCAAAATGACAAGTTGGGTTTTAATTTATCCCAGCCAGTTGTATCTGCTTTTAGCACTCAGTCACCCTTTCTAAAATCATTTCTTGCTCTTAACGTTCCTCCAACTAGAAATTTTAAAATAATTTTCTTTTCTTTGTTTAGAGTGTAAAATGACAAGTTGGGTTTTAATTTATCCCAGCCAGTTGTATCTGCTTTTAGCACTCAGTCACCCTTTCTAAAATCATTTCTTGCTCTTAACGTTCCTCCAACTAGAAATTTTAAAATAAAAAATAATTT